GCTTTGGAGGAATCGTGCGTTGGAGGATCGCACTACACTCTTCCGTTAAGGTCACCGTCTCATGTTCCTCAATCTCCTTCTTCTTCGCAAGTCGTTGAGGAAAAGGTAAAGGGATAGAAAGTTTAGGAGAGCCAAAGTTAGAATTAAATGTAATCCCAGGCCTTGAAGTTGCTATCACACTTTGTTCCTTCATTAACTCATCACAAACTTTCTCCTCTTCACTTCGTAGATAGATGGCATGACATTGCTCTTTTGGGTTCAACTCGGTATTGCTAGGAAATTGACCCCTTTGGTGCTGGCTTCCCACGGCCTTCGCTAATTGACCAATTTGCATCTCCAAATTTTTCATTTGAGCCTCCATTGTCGTAGCCAATTGTGTCACATGATTCTCAATCTTGTCCAACTTCTCTTCATCTCTGTTGAAACGATTTCTCGTCTCATTCATGAAAGCTACCAGAATATTTTCCATGTCCATCTTCTTCTCTTCGACAATCTCGCCATTCACCACCTTAAACCCCGGCGGTGGTTGGAGCACATTCTTTGTATTTCCATAGGAAAAATTTTCATGATTCCTATTATTCGGGTGATAAAAACCCGGCACCGGATTAGGGCGATAATTGTTGAAGTTCCGTGTATTGATAAAATTAGCCTCTTCTAAAGGATCCGGTGGTAACACGTTGCCTTGTACTCCATTCATCTCATCAGCTCCTTTTGCTAAAGCATTCAATTTCGTCGTCAAGGACGACATTTGAGCCGCTAACTCCTTAATAGGATCAGAAGACGTCACCTCCGCCACTCGTCTGATGTTCGTCCTCTCCGAAGGCCACTGATAACTATTCATGGCCATCTCTTCCAACAAATTGGACGCTTCCTCCGGTGTTTTAGCCAATAGAGCTCCTCCAGCAGCCGCATCTACAAAGGCTCTCGTTTGGCCCAACAACCCATTATAGAAGAAACAAAGTTGTTGATCCTCCGGAAAACCATGTTGAGGGCATCTTCTCAATAGTTCTCTAAATCGATCCCACGCCTCGTATAAAGGCTCCGAGTCTTGCTGCCTAAATTGGGTAATCTCGCTTTTGAGTTGCATCGACTTGCTTGGAGGAAAATATTTAAGCAGGAACTTCTGGTTCAACTCCTCCCAAGTAGTAATGCTCCCATCAGAAATCATCGACAACCAACTCCGAGCTTTATCCCTTAGAGAAAAGGGAAATAGACGCAGCCGTATGGCATCCTCGGAGACACCATTGTACTTGACCAAATCACAGATTTGCAAAAACTGGGTCAAGTGTTGATTCGGATCCTCGGTCGGGTGTCCACCAAATTGGTTGTTTTGCACCATCGAGATATAGCAGGGCTTCAGTTCGAAATTATTCGCATTGACGGGTATATGCGCAATCCCGCCAAAATTCTTATTAAATTGAGGCCGAAAGTGGTCACGAATCGCTTGCCTCGGTTGTTCTTGCTCGTCCATTGTGCACTTTGAATTGCCCCTTCTTTTTCTAGTTGTTGCACTATTGCGTCTAGCGAATGCTTCAACTTCGTCAATCAAGGGTGGTAGTTGTACACCTTTAGAGCGAGTTAACATGCACTTCCTGAAATCACGAATATAAGAGTTTATGTCACCAAAAATAAAAAAAAAATATCTAAATTAAAATTTTCACTATCTATCTTAATACTGATACAACTAATTATATTAGTCCCCGGCAACGGCGCCAAAAACTTGTTCGCCTATATTTTTAAAGCTCGACCGCAAGTGTACGGCTTCGCTCGTAGTATATGGCAAGCAAGGTCGTATCCCAAGAGACCAAATAATTAATATATCAAGTACCAGATTATGATAGTGTCAACTTTATTTAGACGACCGAATATGAGATGGATTAACTAAACTAATAAAATATAATTAAAGAGAAATAAAGCAAAAATAAAGAACTAGCTAGAAAACACGTAAGAAGATATATGAGAATGATAGATTCTAAGACTTTGGTTTCAATTAATAGTTGGGTTTCTTCAGAAATATCACAACCAATGTTTTCTTTATCTTCCCTATAAGATGATCACAAATTTAGCTTATCGTCCCTCTCAAGATCGATAAAACCGTAGATTAAATCACATATATTAGCGTCTCCACTCAACACATGCAATTCAACTCCAAATAGATTAAAAGATCTAATATCCTCACAACAACCTACTAATCTCTCGATTTAAGCAAGTAAATTGTGTCAAATATTAAAGACCTAATATTGAACTCATCTCTCGAATTATGAACAATATTGTCAAACATGTAAAAACATTGGCCAAGTGCTAAACATGAAACAAGAACAAAATATTTGAATAGGGTTCAAAAGAAAACAATCAATTATAATAAATCATCCAAAATCCCAACATATTAATCTACTACCAAGTCTTAGAATCAAATAATCTAGCTACTCATGTTTGAATTCAAATACATAGACATATTAGAAATCAACATGATCAATAAAAGTTCAAAAGGAAAGAAGAAAGAAAAACTAGGAATCTCGTCGATCTTTCAATCTTCTCGATCCCTTTGTGGTTGATCTTCTTTTGCTTCCCAATTGCTTCTCTTGTGTGTTCTCCAACCTCTCTCGTGTGTCCCTCCTTTTTGGCCTCTCAAACTAGGTTAAATATGCTTCCTTTTGTCTCCAAAAACCTTCTCCTCGTCAAAATAGGTAAGTAATAAAAATCTGTTCCCGCGCGCGACACGACCACACGGCCCGTGTCACAGGCCGTGTCGCAGGTCGTGTCAAGTTCAAGCCCTCGGAATGTCCCTGTTCACGTGACACGGCCACCTGACACGGGCATGGTGCCCGTGTCACCGTCCGTGTCACATCCCAGCACTCTCGTTTTTGTCCGTTTCACTCGTTTCTTCCATATTTCTCATCCGTGCATCAATCCATCATCATCTCGGGGGTCCTAGGTACTCACCATGCGCCTCCAATAGCCACAAGCTCTACAAATATGTGAAAATATCTACAAAACAAGCACGTGTAATACCTTTCCAACAAATAGAGAATTAAAGCACAAATATGCGATTTATACACCAATAACGCAATGACTAAGCTCTAGATACTCAATAAATATGGTGTAAAATCACACATGAACAGACCTGTGCTAAAATTGAGGGGGGATGATAAACTCAACTCTAATATCTCAGCTCATGAAGAACCGGGTGCATGTACACCAACATGCAAAGGCAAACTACCCCATGCAAAGACAAAAGACAACTCACCACATTTTTGAATTTTTTACCTTTGTCCTTTTTCCCTTAGTTATTACTTATTTACCTTTACCTTATCCTTCTAGGTATTATTATTGTCCACTCATATATATATAGTGAATAGGAATCCGCAGCCATCACGTAATCATTTGAGCAATATCAAACTCGAGTTCATAGCAGTGAATCAATGGCCTTTCATTTCCTGTTTCATGTTTCTTGTTTTTCAATGATCCAACACGTCGAGTTCAGCGGCGGCAATTCGAAGCTCCGATGGCGTGGCATCGCAGCTGAAACGGCAGACGGGCGCCGACGCCTAAGGAGTCGGTCACGCCTATTGCCGGTGGGGGTCGGGGTACGGCGCTGGTGTTTGAGTCTGGTGGGCACTGTGTGTGTATGTGTGTGTAACGGTCTGTGTGCGTGCGTGGGGAAAGAGAGATGTGTGTGTGAGAGATACATATGAGTGTGTGAGAGAGACATGTGAGGGAGAGTTAATGGGAGAGAGAAACATGAGGAGTCATTGGTGGGGCTCATTAGTGTGGTGGATAATTAATTGGTGTATGAGTAAATGTCCATAATACCTTTAATAAAAGTATAATGTTGAATTTTTTTTAAAGCCACTAGATCATCCGATCTCATGGCCACGGACGGTTCATTCTTATTTGCTCCATTCTCATGTGAGCGCGACCCTATATATATATATGTGTGTGTGTGTGTATATATATATATATATACATATATATATGTTAAATTTAATTATTTTTAGACATGTTTTTTCTTAAATAATTTAAAAATTTGTAGGTGACTTCAAATCCTTTTAAATAGTTGTAGACATGTTTCTTTACAAAATAGTTTAGAAAAATTTTAGGTAACTTCACATCTTTTAATAATGTTATATAAAATTTTAAATATTTTTACATACGTTATATAGTATTTGGGTATTTCTAGTATTTTAAACATTTATGTACAACTCATATACGGTAAGTTATATTAACTCAACATCTTTAATTTATAATTATAATTAATATTATTTATTCTCATTTTTAATCTATATATATATAATTGCTGGAAAGCTTCAATAAATTTTATTCAGCCAACAATTAATAATAATATGAGTTCATTTAATAAAAATATGTTCACCATTTAATAATAATATTAAACTTTCAGTTAGACAATTTATTTTGACAAGTCCTATTTTGGATGATGTCCATTTCTGTAACGTATTTTTATGTCATGAAATACAAAATATTTTTATTTTATTTTGATACTATATATTTTTTGGTATTATACAAATAACTATTTCACAACTAATTAAAAATGACTACAAATATCTCTACTTTCTATTGGAGTCATACAATAATAAAAATATATTTTTTTTCGGATATTACAAAGATAAGTCAAATATTTTGAAAAATCAAATCACAGAGTTACGAGTCGAAGAAGTTTAACGATAATGATTTGTTGTGATGTTGATTCTGACAACAAGAAAATCACGAACGTTGTATATAAAGAAGTGTTTAATAATATTTAGATTCACTTTTGTAAATTATTTTTTCTCATTTATTAAGTTATGTTTTTTTTATTTTCTTCTATATTTTTAATTACTTTCTCTTTTATTATATTGCTTTTCGTGCAAATGCACAGAATAAAACTAATTTATAATTATTAATTAATATTATTTATCTTTATTTTAAAATTATAATTATTATTTAATATTGTTCACCCCTATCTACACAATATAGTAAAATATGAAAGAGAGGTAGATATGGATAATTCCTCAAGTCTTCTTTGCCTGTTTTGCAGTACATACCTCTACGAATTAATATGTACGATATAAATACACACTCGACCTAAAATTTGTTGATCTCTTTCTTGTTCGGGGAAAGTTTGCCTGATTGGTTTTCCTGACGGTCGGTGGATCGGATCAAATAAAATCGATTGTATTGATCTGATTTTTCGTTTATTTATCATTTAGGTGATGTATCAATAAATTATTTGATTGTGCTTGGGAAAATTGGAGGTCGAGCGATTGGAGACAAAGTAGAGAGAATTTTTCTTCGTGGTAGCGAAACATGTCTGCCGTTGTGTGCGGGAAGAGATCAAACATCTTTGAGGATTCACCTTCATCGCCGCCAGTCTCCAAAAGGATCCGCTGTTCATCGTCATCCTCGTCCCCAGGCCGAAGCTTCTCGCCGCCCAGGGCTGCTGCGACCTCTTATACCTCCTCCAATTCTGTGCTCGATCATCTTGTCGCACTCTTTCCCGACATGGATAAGCAGGTTGTCAAATCATTTTGTTTTTTTGTTCCCTGATCTTGAATTTAATTTCATGTTTCTGATTGAGTGTTGGGTTCTAGGAGTGAAGTTTTTTGCCGTATATGGTTTATTTATTTGAATTTTTGTATCTAATATTTAATAGATGTGTTATTAATTTGCATTATTTTGGTATATATTGTTCAGTCAATGGTTAATAGGTGAAATACATGAAAGATTCAATTTTTATGTTATTTGTTGTAACTTATGATGTGCTACCGTATTTTGTTGCGTCGCGTTGGGTTTGCTAAAATTCTGAACAGGTTTAAAATGTAAAATCTCCCAGTGTAAGAGGCTGTAGTGGGAGTTTATTTTTGTACACCAAATGCCTAAATAAAGTTTTGATCTTCTTATATGCGTGACATGTTTTCTAGTTTTTGTACTTTATCCTACTTTGTAGCTTACCATATGTTGTGTTTACTTGATCAAATTGTGATTTTTTTGACATTAAGGAAGATATGTATTGAACATGCTAAATTGTTGGTATTTAAATAAATATGAGATGTGGATGTATGTTTAAGTTTTAACATAAATCTTGTATATTTCAATGTTATATAATCTTGACATAGTTTTTGCAGCTGACAGGTTGTCATTTCATTTCATTTCCTTTGTTCCCTGCTTTTTAATTTAATTTCATGTTTTGGATTGATTGTTGGGTCCTAGGAGTGAAAATGTTTTTGTCATAGATGGTTTATTTTAGTTGGTTCTCTGTATTTACTATTCAACAGATGTGTTATAGATTGAATTATTTTGGTATTTTATTCAGTGGATGGTTAATAAGCACAATTCTTGAAAGGTGCTATTTTTATGTTGTATTTTATTTTATTTTTTTAATAAAATTCTGAACAGGCTAAAAATGTGTAAAATCTCCTAGTGTAAGAGGTTGTAGTTGGACTTCATTTTTGTGCACCAAGTGACTTAGTTCTTGTACTTTATTCTACTTTGTAGTTTAGCGTGTGTTGTGTTTACTTGATCAAATTGTGATTTTTTTGACATTGAGGATGAGATGTTTTCAACATGCTCAATCTTATATATTTCAATGCTACAGTCTTGAAATAGTTTTATGTAGCTGACAGGTTGTCAATTCATTTCATTTCCTTTGTTCCCTGATTTTTAATTTAATTTCATGTTTCTGATTGAATGTTGGGTCCTAGGAATGAAAATGTGTGTTTGCCATAGATGTTTAATTTTATTTGGTTTTGTGTATTTTCTATTTAATGGATGTGTTACCGATTGAATTATTTTGGTATTTTATTCAGTCAATGGGTAATAGGTGAAATTCTTGAAAGTGCAGTTTTTCTGTTATATTTTGTGATGTGATTCCTTATCTTATTTTGTGTTTTATGTAAATCTGAACATTATTTTGTGTTTTATGATAAAATTCTGAACAGGTTTAAAATTTGTAAAGTCTCTAGTGTAAGAGGTTGTAGTGGCACTTCATCTTTGTGAACCAAGTGCCTAAATAAAGTTCCGAGACATGTTTTCTACTTAGTTTTTGTACTTTATTCTACTTTGTAGTTTATCATATGTTGTGTTTAATTGATCAAAATGTGATTTTTTTGACATTGAGGGTGAGATGTTTTCAGTATGCTATATCTTATATATTTCAATGTTACACATTCTTGAAATAGTTTATGCAGCTGATAAGTAATCTTAACGTTTAGCATCAGTTGTTGCTTTCAATTGCTAGCCGGTGAGAATATTATTCGATTAACTACCATTAGAATCTAACCTCAGCTTGCACCATATTAAACTCTCAAGCAGTTAAACCATTAAATTCTGTTGTTACCTTGGAACTTGATTTTAGTAAGTATGTCTCGTTTTCCACTATCCATTGTCAGTGTATATAAGTTCCGTGTAACCATTATTTTCCTATTGAGTTCTTGCCTCTTTGCCGGCAGATCCACTTTGGCTATAATTTTACATCCTAATCAATAGTGAAGCTTCAGTTTTGAATGATCTTGAAACTGCTATATCCTATGTACTTCATTTTCAAGATCTATAAGTACATATATTTATGGAATATGTTATTGAGAATTTAGATGTCTTTGTCAACCCGCCTATAATTGGTTAGCAGTAGGTGAGGGTCTCTTGTTATAGACATCTGATACCTGCATATATTAGACTGATGTCTACTTTTGATGGGATACTACGAATTTAAAAGACCAATCTATTAGCCTATATTTTTTTTTAGTTTGGTTTATCATTTATGTCCATATTTATTTATGTTTTGTTTCGGTTAAGTATGTGTCTAGACTTAAATGTAAAAACATCTTTTCTATTGTATGGGTTTTGTGTGTTACTTTTTTCATGTATAGTCGACAGGATTGGGCACAGTTAAATAATCTTAATTCGCTGTACTTTGTCCTCTGTCTTCATATTAAACATTTTAGTATGAACAGGAAGCAGAAGATCCTTGGATTCGTGAATATAAAAATCTTAAAATTGAGCATGAATAACCTAAGGTTGGAGACTTTTTCTTTTGTGTTTCTCTTTTGTTACGGAGTTTTGTTTTGGTGAGCTTGGCACTCATTTCATGAAATTTGCTTTCAATTTACAATAATTTGAGAAGCTATGTAAAGGAATGTGTAAAATGCATACGAATTTTTGGGATAATAAAATAAATTGTCCATGACCAAAGAAGTTCATGTATACCTACCAATATAAGACAATTCAATGTTAACAAATAACAAAAGTAGTAATTTAGTGAGAACCGTCTGATTTTTTATAACCAATAACAATTTTTAGACTTGAGTAAGTTGAATACATGTATCAAATTTCCTAGCAGCCATGATCATAGTCATACAATACTTTGGTGTAAATAATTTTGTCCACCTCTTGGGAAATCATATTAATCCTAATACTACCGGTATTGTGTTTATTCTACAACTTTTGCATGCCAAGTTGGCTACCTGAGTCATTTTTACTCTAGGGGGACAACGTCTACCAACCAGTATTTGACATTTTCTACCTATTGAAAATAAACTTAGAACCCCCATTAATTACAAGCTAGCTTCGTGTTCCTTGGCATCTGATAAGTTATTTTATTTTTGGATTTACTTTCAGAAAGCACACAATTACTGTTATTTGCTTTACCTTTTATGCGGAGATTCTTATGGATATAATTCTAAAAAGATTGCCTTTCAATTGTGGTAATAATAGATGTGTGCCACGTTGTGCTGGATCTGGGAGGTGTTGAAACACTGACCTTGTTTTGTTTGACTATTATTGTTTCTCCCAATTAAATGATTTATTAGAAGAAATTTCGGATTTATGTTTAACTTTCAATTCTGATTTGTGATTTCTATACTTGGCAATTGACTATCTTTAGCTAAATCGCAGCCGATATTCTCCAGTCAACATCTGAGCATGGTGTAAAAAAAAAAAAAAAAAATTAAATTGCAACGATCAGTGTGAAAAGGATAATGTTGTTTGATGTACTGCCGTGTGTCTTAATCTAGCATTGTGTAGAGTTAATTGTAAAATGCATTGCATTTATTTTCATTGATGCTAAATCTAATTGATTAGTTGATGGATTGTTTTCACTTGTAGTTTCTGGAGAAAGCCCTTGAGGAAGCTGGTGATGATTTGGATTCTGCAATCAAAAGGCTTAATGGACTTCGGATTAGTGCTGCTGCAAGTGTGTCTGATATTACACAGGAAATTGGCAATCAATTTCGTTCTGAAGGTGTTCCTTTCTTTTCTATTTTTCTTCCTTCTTCCTTTTTTATTTTTCTTTTCTTTTTGGCATGGTCTAGTGAAACTAACTTCGATTTGTCTTGTATAACTTTGTCATCCAGGAGTTGCTAGAGCATATAGCAACCTTTTAGAGTGCGTGAAGTCATTCAATTAGTTACTAGTCAAATATATTTTTCGTGCTCAACCTACTGAAATGGCTGTATGATTAACCTTTTGATGATTTGATGCAAAGTTTATCTCCTCTTCAACTCAAGCTTTGCATCCTCTGCTGACATACTTGTTCTAATTACATATCCTGTTTATGGAGATGAACGAAGAGGGGGAAGATAGACTTATGTGGACAGTTTTTTCCTATCTGGTTTGCACTTAAATTATTCCAGGAAGGAGACGGAGAAAGATTAATGGTTAGGATAGGAGAACCATTGAATGAGGGAAATTCAGGTGCTGATAGCGGTTTACCTGAGCAATGCTGAAGTCCACAATCAACCGTGAGGAGGCCAGAGTAGAATAATAGGCCCGGCGCATTTTGTATTGCTGGGAGTAGTCTTTTTTATGTACCTGAGCTATATGATTTTTTTATTCCTTTACTTCTGGTTCTCACTTTTAAACTGATAGAACATGAAAATCAATTTTAAGTTGTTCAGAGTTAGTGGGATTTTGATATAACCGATCCTTCTTGGTTATATGAATGTGTCTAGCAATAACCTGAAGTTTGGACATTCTTGGATTGACTGTCGAGCTTGACATGTTTTATACTGGAACTTAGTGGTCTAACCAAATGGATTCACATACTATGGTGATGTAATTGGAATTTATGACTTTTGGTCATTCTTTTGGTGAATCAGACAACTATGCTGATGCCTTTGAAGGAGGGGATTTTTTCCCCCCTCGCTTTAATTAGATGGATCGAATGAGCTTTAGTTGCCTTAGACTTACATGCTTTAATTCAATCATTGCTTCCAGAAGTTATGAGGAGCTGATTGGAATTGCTTTGCAATTCAAGCAAGAATCTTGCCCGCTAAGTTGTTTATTGGTTTTTGGTTAGCTTATAAGCTCCATGTGTTCAAATAAGCTTAGTATTGTAAGACGAGCTTGTTTAAAAAGCTCGAGCTTATCTGATAAGCTTCTTCAGCTATCAGCTATCTTTTCACTCATAAGCATAAGCTATTATCTATAAGCTCGAAATTGCTTATAAGCTATCAACTAACTTATTGAATAGTTCAGCTAGGTTTACCAAACGTAGCCTATATTTCGAGAATGAATCATACCCCCCCACAATTGAGGAATCGCTGTGTACCATTAATCGCATACCTATCTCGAATCCCGGGTTCCTACTAACTTGCCATGTGAATGCCTTGTCCTCTACTTCTAGCTTAATTGATCAACATTTGTATATCTGAAAATTGCTCCTCTAAAAAATTAATGTTTAAGCTCGTGGCTTTAGCTTGAGCTGCAGACAGAACGTACACAAAGGTGAAGTAGAGGCCCCATGGGCTTCTATCCAAACTCCTTGGTCATTCTTCTTATTGTTTGGCGAACTTCTGTTCAATTTTGATTATATTTATATTTATAATTTTTCCTTAAGTCTCCATTGCTTTTTGCTGTTGTGTATGAGCAGTGGCAAACAGTGAGCAAACTCCTCAAAGAGAGGAACCACCTACAGAAAGCAATCTCCCTGTTGATGGAGCAGAGTGGGTTGAGCTTTTGGTCAGGGAAGTTTTAACTGCTCCAAATGTGGATGATGCTAAGGCCCGCTTATCACAAGCACTTGAGGCATTGGAGAAGTCCATTTGTGCAAATGCTACAGCAGAGGCTGCAAAAAGTTTCCAAGAGGTGTGGTGTTTTCATCCCCGTCCATTTCTTTTAGGTTATTACTTCCTGTCCAGCATTGTGTAGATATCCATCCCTCTTTTATCTAATTATTGATATTTTCGTTATTATTACGGTCCAAGAACTACTTGGATATAGATTTTTTTGGTTTTACTTGGACTTTTGGTTTGGTGTGGTTAATTTTGAAAAATGTGTATGGTTAGTTGTTAGTGGGATTTTGAATTTATATTAAAATAATATTTAAAATAAAATAATTAAAGTTGATTTGATGTAAAAGTAGGAGAGAGATGATGTGAAGTGATTGTTAAAATTATGTGAATGGATGAATATTGAATTAAAGTTGATATATATATATATAATTGCTAGCTAAACAGTTAATAAAACCTAGTTAATCTTACTTATGTGGCAATATAACTTTTTTCTCTAAAAACCGTTGCTTTTAATTTATTTAATCTTTTATTTAATTATTAGATAGTCAACACACTAATGTGATTAGATGTTATTATTGTGGTTTCAAAAATCTTTTTAACCTTTTGATTACTGACAGTTGACCATACAATGTGTTGACCGTATAATGTCATTAGATGTTATTATTATGGTTACATATAAATTATTTTTTTTTTGGGAGAATAAAAAACGTATTTTAAATAATTCAAAAAAAAAAAAAATACCAAAATATACATTACATCCAATCTGATAAACTCAATTTAAAAATAAATATTCCAGCTCCTTTAATTGTAAACTTGGCCTGCAAAAATGTGAAAAATGTGAAAAATGTGAAAGAAAAATCATTAATCATTATACAAATAACTCACAATACTTTATTTACATCTGTGCAGGTAGTGTAAGAATGATTGACTTATATTATTTAAATATATTGATAATATTGAGGATAGTGAGGTTGAGTTAAAGTTGAATTAGATTTGAGTTAAAAAAAAGTGATTGGTTAAAAATGATTGGATTTTTTTAGGATGCTTTGTATCCAAGCATTCTCATAATTTTCGTGCTACTTATGTATAGGAAAACATTATGGTAAAGCAGCAACTGGAAGCACTGCTGCATGAAAATACTATTTTGAAGCGAGCTGTTTCTATCCAACATGAGAGACAGAAGGCAGTTGAGGAAATGGGTCAGGAATTGCATCAGCTAAAACAGCTGGTGTCTCAGTACCAGGAGCAAGTCCGAACACTTGAGGTCAGATTTACAACCCTAAAACTCCACGATTTCATAATTTAGTTAGTTAGGAAAATCATTTCTAGGGATGGCAATATAAGATTGAGCTGTGATACAAGATTATGTCAAGATTTCCTGTCAGAAATTTCTATGCATATTATTTCGTACTTTCTGTTGTTTGATCAGAACAGAAGTGAATAAAGTATATGTTGTAATAAATTCCACCTAGCTCACGATTCACTCTATGTTGGATGTTACTAAAACTGTTTTAGCGTCGTGCGGAATGTACTTGGCAGTCCACACTTCACTGGTGGCTGGAAGGACTAAGTTTTAAACTGGAACTGTATTTTGTATAATCCATTCTCAAGACAGTCATACATTTTGTAAGCCCTTTATAGAAAGAATATCTCTAGTTAGTATGCTTACGCGCCTGCCTTTGAGAGCCTTTTCTTTCCGACCCTTCGTCGGTGTCATTGAACCTCGTTAGCATTTCAATCTGTTTGTTTTTATGGTTTAACAATCCTCTTTATCTCCACGTTAAGCACTTTAAGCAATAAAGTGATTTTAAGCTGCACTCATTGGGCTATCACATCGCTTGTGTAATTTTATGCTGAAGACATTTGATCATTCTATGTTTGATTTGCATTTTGTTGGGAACCTCACTCTAATAATGGTACACATTTTAATTTTTTATTGCTCCAGGTGAACAACTACGCCCTTGCAATGCACCTTAAGCAGGCCCAACAGAACAGCCAATTCCCTGGGCGTTTTCACCCTGATGTGTTTTAGTTACTACTCTCTTGTATGTTATTTATGCATGCGGAGCACACTACAGTCTCTTGAATAATGCAGGATTTTGGCAATAGTTGCCTTTGGTGTTGGGGTCCTATACTTCTGCTGAGTGTGTTCTGATGCCATGTTTTCTTTGCTTGTTTGTGGTGCTTGTACTTGAGAAACGTTGTGTTCTGTCTTGTTATGTGTGATATATTTATGCAACTGGATTTGTTGCTGAATTGAGCTGGCTATACAACTATGAACATTTTTCTATTGCTTTGTTATTATGTGAATGTATGGCTCCACTGTGATAGGTATGTGGTGTTCGTCATCGAAATTGTGTATTTGGATAGTTGCAAAACTCGATTGAGTTTGGTTTACTAGACATCAGTATATATTGTTTTAGCTCGGTCGAAACATAGCAGTTCTTCTTAGGATCCTCACAAATAGAAATACAGTACAAATTACAGAAAGTTGGTAAGAATCACCTTTTTTCGTCATCTAGAAAGCAATTGGTTTTGCTTTATTCAGACAAAAAGTTGACATAGGTGTTTGTGTGTATATTTGGTTCATTTCGTCTAGGAATTTACTTCTNNNTTTTTTTTTAATTATCGGTAAATGGTAAATATATAGATCAAAATGGCGTTACAACGATCGTCGAACGACAAACAAAAAGTCAAGTGGGCAACCACATGCTCAGTTCTTCACTCGCTAATCAAAATAATGAGAGAATAACCACAGGTAGGTTGCTCAGCTCAAACTAAATTGTGATCATATATCAAAGCGACTTTCCTTTTAAACTCGGCAAATACATTCGCAAACACCTCGATATTGTACGATAAATACGGGTTTGAATCTTACGTACCTCAAGGGGGTTTAGCCTAGCCATTTCTGAGGGCATTTCTCTCCACTTCGGCAAGGACATTCAAGTACAAAGCAAAGATATTCCAGTAGACATGAGTTTGGATTTTCCGTATGATGCGTTCCGGTGATTGGACTTCATTTTCAAATATCTTCCTATTCCGAGCATTCCAAATAGAGTACACCGTTGACGCGAGCCCGACCTTCTTTGCTTTTCTTCTCCAATCGGAGCCTTGGGCATCCTTCTTAATCCACTTCAATGCACTATTAATTGTGGAGAGTTGCCGCCTCAATCCTAGCCAATGTTGGTTGCCAAACCAAACTTGAGTCGATAGGGGAAAGTGAAAAAGAGATGATCAATGGTCTCGGAAGCTTCCCCATAAAAGACACAAGTAGTGTCGAGTTCCAGGAAGTCGAGCCTATCCTTGGTACGGAGCCTCCCAAGCGTTGCTAGCCAAAGGATGAAGGTGTGTTTGGGGTTGTTGGCGGCCCCCAAACGACTCCCTTCCAAGGGACAGGTGTACCTTTAGCTCGGCAGAACTCATAGACCCATGAGGGTCCCTTGGATTGGGATTTGGATTCCCAAAGACTTAGAGCGGCTTCGGCGACTTGCATACTACCCAACTTTTCAACCATCAGATTCAGAATATCATAGATGTTTTTGAATAGAGGCGAATCACTCTTGTGGATAGTCCATTCCCAAACGGTCTTTTGCCGAAGATAAACATGATGAACTCAACGATACCACAAGGTGTCTTTCTTAGCTTGTATATTCCTAAGTGTTCGAGCCAACAAGGTTTGATTCCACGCTTTTAGGTCTCGAAGGCCTAGGCTTCCCTCCGAACGTGGAAGCTATATCAAACCACCGACGCCATCTTTGATCTCCAAAGGAAATGTCGGCAACGTTGGATGATGAGCGTAGGGACGATCGACGGAAGAGGGAAGATAGACATCCAAAAGCATTCAAACCCTTGGAGGACATATCTAATGAGTTCCACACGCCCCGCATATGAGAGAGAGAAAGCGTTCCACCCATTAATATACTCTGAATTTTGATTAATGAGTGCATCAAATTGTCCAACCATGACTCTTTCCGCCATGAGAGGGATATCGAGGTAACGAAAAGGCATAGGCCCCGGACGGAGGTTAGTGTCGCGAAGAATCTCCGAATGTTCCAAGTGGCCGACCCCCGCCATGTAGATGTTGGACTTTTGAACACTCATTTCCAAGCCCGATTTATCCCCAAAGTCTCTCAAGCATTCCATTAGGATTTGGATAGATCGAGGGTTCCCCCGCGAGAGAAACATTAGGTCATCCGCAAAGGCTAGGTGGACGATTCTAAGAAACTCACATTTGGGGTGATAGTTGAAATCCGCTCCGCTAGCCGTGCTCCGATTCTTGAGCCTCGAGAGATACTGTAAGAAAATGACAAAGAGATAAGGCGAGAGCGGATTACCTTGGCTCAACCCCTTAGCTCCTTTGGAATGGCCACAAAGCAAGCCGTTGATTGAGATCGAGTATGAAGTCGTGGTGACGCACTCCATGATCCATCCAATAAGAGTCTTCGAAAAATCAAGTCCATGAAGAACTTGCCTCAAGAAGGTCCAAGAGATAGAGTCAAAGGCCTTGCGAAGGTTAATCTTGATTGTGCACCTCGTGGAGATCCGCTTACTCATATATTGCTGGAGCAATTGTTGCATGAGGTGAATGTTGTCCGACATGTTCTTACCACTCACAAAGATAGCTTGGGTTGCATCAATGATCGTGCCGAGGACGGGGCTCAAGCGTTGGGAAATGATTTCCGAGCAAATTTTGTAAGTGGTATTGCAACAAGCTATCGTTCGGAAATCAGAGACTTGGGTCGTATGGGGAGCTTTGCGAACCAATACTAGTGTAGTGTGGTTCCATTGCTTGAGGAGGCGCCCATTCCGAAAAAAATTCTTGCACGGCCGAAATAAGGTCCTTTCCAACGATGTCCCAACTTTTCTGAAAGAACGTTGAGGTGTACCCATCTAGGTCGGGGACCTTGCTACTCTCGATGTCCTCAAGAGCGTTTTTGATTTCGGATTCGGAGACCAGGGCAAGGAGAGCATGATCATGCTCTCGGGATACAAGTGGGCCATTTCGGGCGATTTTGGGATCAATGTCCACGGTTGGAGTCACAGTTCCAAGGAGCTTTTCAAAGTGGTTAACAAACTCCTTAGACACCTCGTCATGCGATGTTATCATACTCTCGTCTTCTCTCATTATGGAGACTATAAAATTTTCCTTAGAATTTTGTTTGACAAGGGCATGATAGAACCCGGTGCATTTGTCACCCTTGACTTGGAATTGACACTTCGCTTTTTGTTGGAAAACGTGCTTCTCCACCTTGGCAAGATTGATAAATTTAAGCCGTAGAGAAGGAATCGAAGCCTTTACCTCTAAGTCGTCGGGGTTGTCATGGAGCTTTTCTTGGGCTAACTTCAGAGCGAGCTTTGCATTGTTGGCTCGAACGGAGGTTTGAGAGAAGTGCTCGGCGTTAAGCTCGGATAGCTTGGTTTTCAAAGACTTTAGCCGGCCGGAAAGCTTGAATTGTTCCGTTCCCCGAATCCTTTGGTTCCAAGCTTGTCGGACCCTCAGTTTGTAATCATCATCTTCGGTCCACATATTGAAGAAATGCCAAGGCGACCCCTTCCCACTAGTGTGCTCAAATAAAGAGACGACACACGGAGAGTGGTCGGATATGCCCGGGGCAAGGAAGGTAGCTTGGAAAAATAGGTCCTCTTGTAGCCAACGGTTGTCCACCATAGCACGATCGAGCTTAGACCAAATAGTATTATTTGTCTAAGTGTGGAATAAACCGGTAGAAGGGACATCCGCAATATTGAAAGTATCACAAAAAGCAGCGAAGTCCATGATGTCCCGATTTGAAACGGGCTCCCCGTTAATTCTTTCCCCCAGCCAGAGAACCGTGTTGAAATCCCCCATGAGAAGCCAAGGCAAGTTAACATTCGTCCTAGAGTTTCCAAGATCCCGCCAAAGTTGCTTTCGATCCCCCCTACTATGAAGACCAAAAACAAAGCTAACAAAAAATTTATAATTGCTAAACTTGTTTGTAAGCGTGACCGAGATGGATTGTGGGAGGGTATCTTCCATTGATAGATCCACTTTGTTCGGGTTCCATAGGATAACTATGCGTCCATGGCTAATAACTCCAAAATTTTCACAAAAGAACCAATCCCGTAGCCACACGACGATGATCCGTTTTCGTCTCTATAAGTCCCAAAACATCAATTTTATTTCTCCGGATGAGGCTAACCACCTCATCTTGCTTTAGGGGCGCATTGAAGCCCCTAATGTTCCAAGTGGCGATTATCATTGTTTGGAGGAGGGGGGTGGTGCCCCCTTCTTCAATGTGCTAGTTTTTGCCGGATTTCTTCTCATGAGAATGGTATCTTTCATCTTTAAGAATGGTTTCGGCCCGGGTTGGGTTGAGCGTCCACCATGCTTCGAATTTTTGTTTTTCTTAGTCACCAATTGGAAGGGTTGCTCCTCCACTTTCGGTTGAGCGGGATGTTCGAGCTCCATAACCTCATCATCATCACTATCGCTCACGCTTAAGGGCTTTTTGCCTTCGGCTTTTTCTTGGTGCAAACTCTCCCGATTTGAAGCCGCTTCAAGGGTCTTTTCCTCCATCACTTCCTTGTTCTTTGAGGTATGTTGGCCATAGGTGGAGATTTTCGGCGCAATATCAGCCACCTTGGTAGCGGGTTGCTTTGTCACCACAGGTGCTTTTGTGGAGTCCTTGTCCCTAGATGGCTTGGTCTTCTCGGCTTGGGTATTGGACTTTTTCTCCTTGGGCTCTACCGAAAAGATATGGCATTTTTTCGAGGTGTGTCCGATTTGTTTGCAACTATGGAAAAGTGTGGGGACATAACTGTATACCACTTATTGTGAGAAGCACTCCCCGTCGTAAGTTTCTACCTCAATGTCATGTTTTAGCTCCTCGGAAACGTCAATCTCTATAAGGACCCGTGTACACCTATCCTTGGACTCGGTGAGTTTGTCGGTCGAGATGGGCTTTCCAATATTGGAGGCAATTTTTCCGATGGCATTTGCATTCCAACATTCGAGGGGTAGGTAAGGTAGCTTCACCCAAACGGGCACGATTTTTGCGTCGTCGTCTCCAAACCGGAACCATTTAGGAAACCGGAACCATTTATGGAGGGCCTTTAGCATGAGACTTCTCCCGTAAATGGTATACAGGCCCCCTTCAAGCACACTACCCCGATCCTCCTTCGACAAGAATTTGAACATTATCCATCTATTGATGTCGGAGATGTATTCATAATTGACTTTCCAAGAGTTGCAAATTTTCAATAGCGCCTTCTTCCCGGGGTGTCTATGAGTAAAGTAGCCCAAGAGTCAAATTTTGAACGTCATCAATATCCTCTTTTTCCAACCTAACTTTGTCTTCTGATGGTTTGGTGTAGGTGAGGTTGAGTTCATTCGAAGGTTTCCGATTATTGGCAAACAAATCATTGAATGGATGCTTGAGACGATTAGTATTTCCATTCTCCAAGTTCACTTCCTTCATCTATGCAATCGACCTCTTTCTATTATCATTTTCTCTTTTAGTTATTTCGTCGAACACATTGTGGGCGCTGTTCTTAGGCAGATTCAAATATTGAATTGGTTTGGCACCTGATCCCCGGAAGCAGTAGCATCTATATCCACCATTGCAACACCATTTCGATCAAGAGACTTACCATTATCCCCCTCATTACCAGCAACTGAAATCACGTTCTCAGCAGCTAAATTTTCCACTAATTCATCATCATTAGTTTCATAAATCTCCCTGTTTTCTTTCACGACAAGGTCCTTGCTTTTTGGAGGAGCTACCAGTTCAGCGATGGTCATCTGCAGCTCGTCTTCGGTATCTTGAATGGCATCCTCAGCCTCGTCATGGACCTGGGATCAGCATTCCTCGATCGTGAGTTTCCTGAAAGCAATTTTCTTCCTTGATTTCCCATCACGAGCAAGAGAGGTGCTTTTTTTACTGTAGTTTTATGCAAAATTACTGTAGCAACAGCCACTTAGAGGTGAACATGAAGTGAGATCGTGCTTCAAATCAAGGAATTCTAACACCAAGCAGCTCGAAATAGAATTTTCTAATGACAACAACAAGAATCAAGCTACAAATCCCGCACAATCAGTGGAGCCGAAGCAGAAATCTCGAGTGATGCTGTAGCTTAAAAAACCACAAAATCAGCTCGAAATCCCTAAAAATCACGCCCAAAATGGAAGAATTTGAACTTGGAAAATTCAGAGTGGACATTCAGCGAGTCAATATGCAAGAAATCCAAGGAAAAACACATGAATCCGGTGGAGAGGAACTCGTGAAATGGCAGGCCCTAGGGAGCAAATTTCCTAGTGAGAGAGAGTCTTCCTTCTCTCTAACCTGCGTCGTCTAGGAATTTACGTATCTTCCATAAATGCGTTGAATCAACGTCGGCTATAATCTCCAGATGCGGGTCTATTCTTGCTGCTTGCTTATTTTCTTATCTTAATATTAGATTAGATTATTCTACTATAATTCTATTCAAGAATACAGATATTACTGTCATGTAGACGAGACAACTTAATTATTTATTTTTATTTTTTGTTATTTCTCTTTTGACTTTATATATTTGGTACGTTATTTTTATTATTACTATTCAAAATTCTTGTCTTGTTGGACAAATTAGGAATATAGGTGAGTCTTAGAATTTTTAGGAGTCTTATTTATAATAAATCTCTGCTCCTTGTTTTGGGACAGTTGATTTTGAATCAGAAAATACGTAGTTGAGAGATAAATCTCTGCTCTTTATTCTCAATCATATGCTGCACTACATCAGTTAGTATCACACGAACGGCGACATGGCCGGTGAGAGGGGCCGTCGCGGGGGTCTCCATGGTGGGCGTGGCTAACGGGGCGCCCCGCAAGCGTTTGCCGCAGCCACATAGCAGCGATGAAGACGACAAGGATACCTTTTCGTAAGAGAACCCGTTCGGCGTTCTCCCGGCTCGACGAGAGGACGTCGACTTCGACGATCTCCATTTTTGCGAGGACAGACGAGAAGCTGAGGGTTTCGACGACCTCCATTTTCGCAAAGCTCCAAGGGCTGGTTCGACGTCAAGTGGAGCAGGAACGAGCCCGACGTATAGGGGCATGACGACACAGGGGGCGGGCGTTTCGGCGCAAACGACCAAGGGAGAGGGCGTGCGGCAGCGCCCGGTGGCGGACAAACGACAGCAGTGACCGGGTTGGGTGGTTAGACCGCGACTACGGGTTCTTCAGCAGGTACCAGGGTTGCTGGCGGGATGCGCTGTTTCACTTGCGGTGAGATGGGCCATCGGTAGGCCACATGTCCAAGGTTCGACGGATCACGAGCTTTGTTTGCAGAGAACATTGGCGACAAGTTGCGGCCGACTTGTACAACGGACCGTCGATCTTCGATGAGGAACCCCTGGAGTAGGAGGAGCACCTTACTAGTTACGTGGACACGACCCTAGTCATACGGTGTTCTTGTTTGGGTCCTCGGGCTGCCGACGGGTTACCGTGCTTTTTTTGTGGTGAACTCGGGTTCCGGTAGGTGACGTATCCTTAGCCGTGCGGTTCCCCTGCTTTATTTTCGGTGCCGATGGTGAGCATGATAGAGTGCCTATTACGGTACCCCGTCAATTTTTTTACGAGGAGCCAGAGGACGAGTATCATGTGGCTAGAGAATCATCCATGAGCCCGTAGACACTCTCGAAGTCGGACTCTGTCTGTGGTCCTTATCATCCATTGGGGCTTAGTCATCTGGTTGTGGTGCTATATCATATAGGAGATTTGGCTCATGCTGCACTCTACCGATAAAAAGATTTAGATATCAATGGCAGCGAGCTTGGCTATGATTATCTGAATACAATGAAAAACTATGGGGATTTGGTGGTCTTCTATTACAGACTCCAACATACTGGGCTTGCTTTGAGTATGCCAATCGGGCACTGTCTCTCTTGCCTTTGACTGGCGGGCCTTCTCATCGGCATACTGCTGCTACCTATATTAATGTGACTATGATGGAAGATGGTTTGGAGAATGACCATGTTGCTCTTAGGTATCTACACGAGTCTCTCAAGTGTTTCCAAAGACTTCTAGGAGCTACTGATGTAGAGAAGCGTAAGAATGGGAAAGATAAACGAGATATTCTTTCGGTAAAACTCACAAAACTTAATCAATTCTCATTATCAATTCACCAAGTAACAATAAAGCAGGAGAGTCCTTTATATAAGGCTCTCACAACTAAAACCCTAACTTGCTAAACAAGAAAATACCAAATAAATAAATATTCTCCTACCAACTATAAATAAAGAAATAAGGAAATAATAATATTCTCCTATCAACTAGAAATAAGAGGATAACAAAATAATAATAAATGACTATAATTAATAAAACTAAATGCGGAGACGATTTCCGAATTGGTCTCACCTCCATCGGAGTCATATGTATGGCAGGAATCGTCCGGCATTTTCCCCTGTCGAACAAAAAAGTTGAATGTCGCATCTGTTTGCAAGGCCGCAACAAATTCTCGTGGGAGAAAAGCTCGGGCCTGCGCAACAGATAAACTACCAATGCTTCTTGAACCTTCGTCATGTCTTCAAGGGAACCAACATCGTGAAACTCGACGTCAATCTCGTCGGGGCTAACGAGGCCCGAAACAAATGATCTCTTATGAGAATCTACAAGAACCAATGCAATTCTTATCTTTGTATATTGTATAGCATAGCCAAAAACCTGTGCGAAGCGATTATCAGCAATCGTCAAGATGACTTGCATGGCGTCGCATATGCTCGGGTAGGGCTGCACACGAATCGAGCGGCTCGCGAGCTGCTTGCGAGCGCTCGTGTCAAAGCTCGGCTGGAGCTCTAGTTTGACCGAATTCGAATCGAGCTCGAGCCCAAATTTTGTCTTCTCGAGGGGCTCGCGAGCGGCTCGAGATTATGTTAAATTACTAAAATACCCCTTGTACATATATGTATCATAATATTCATATATGTACTTAATGGTAATTTTATAAAATTTGTTGAAAATTTTCGAACCAAAACTCGAGCTGCGCTCAAGCATTTTGAATTCGAGTCGAGCTCGAGCCGAGCTCAAGCTATTGTATTTTTTTATCGAGTCGAGCTTAAGCTATTGTATTTTTTTATCGAGTCGAGCTCGAGCTTCATAAATCGAGCTCGACGAGCTCGAGTAGCTCAAAAAAAAAAATAAATTCAATCCTGCTCGATAAGGCCAATGCTCTGACTCGACTCAGCTCGTTTGCAGCCCTATGCTTGGGGTACCTTGTTTCTCCATGTTCGTAATGTCTACATCAGTCAGAGGCTCCATGAGGAATTACTCTGGCCCCGGTGGCTCCTCATTGCAAATCGGCGGACCGTCGTAGAGACCGTTCTTGTAATATCCCATTCAGTAATTAATAAAAGTAATTAAGTTCTAAGTTAGAACTATTTTACTTTTATTAATAATGATCTTTTATATTTCCAAGTTTTAATAAATCTCTTAGAATTTTATTTTAAGGTCAAGATCAATCCATTAATTTGGAAGTATAATTTAGCAAAGGTTGGTCTTATAAGTAAATTAAGCTCGGTTCAAGTTATCAGTGCCGAGAAATTCCTAAGTTATAGTCGAGCCTTAGTATTAAATACTTAGAATTTTTCGAAGTGTTTAAGTAATCAAGATAATGAAATGAACCGTTCAGTTAATAACCAGAACCGATTCACTTGGCTTGACATTAAAGAAAAATCGGAATCGTTTTTCGATAAATTGAGTTAGTCGAGTAAATGTTAGTGCCTAAGTATTTTATGTGATGTATATGATTTGATTGATAAGTTATACGAAGTAAGTAAAAAAAAATTATTTAGACAAGAAGGTCTATTTATATTATTAAGAGTATATTCGAAATCATATTCGCAAGTTTCGAGTTTTTCGGTGTTCGGTTGTAGTCGGTAATTAAGTCTGATTTTGTTTCCGAAAATTTTATTTCTTGGATTTTTAACATGTTCCAAGATCATTATTAAGAGTTAAAATGCTCAGCATTAAAAATGCAAAAAGCAAAAGAGGGAAAATCCGAAATTTTTAGAATTTTCAATTTTACGGTAAACGTTCGTTTTAAATCAGAATTCGGTTCCGTAAATTGAATAATTTTCATGAAGTCTCGAATATAATCATTGAGATAACATTAGGATCAGGAGAGGGGCCTTTCTAAGCATTGACTATAGGTTAGAGAAGTTTACAAGTTAAGAATACTATTTATTATCTATATTTATTTTTACAAGTTTGTATTGTTTAATTTGTTAATTTCTTCACTCAATGTTCTTGTCTCAAACATTTTGCCTATAGATAGAGGTTTTGATTTCAGGGATTTTCATCAAAGAAGAATTACAAAAGTTATATAGTTCATTAGAGAGAATAAGTTATAGAAAAAAATTGTGAAGTGAAGAAATTGGGAAGGGAGGAAGAATCAATTTTCTAGCAAGAAGAATGTACTATCCTCATCCTAATTTCATACTTTGTAGATGAGATTAAAGGGTTATTAGTATATACTAATGACTTAGAAGTGAGTTTATAATCAAAGTAATAAATACAAGAAGTTAAAGTTGTCTTAAGATTATTTGTATGATAGATGTACTCGGTTTTAATGAGATTCTTATAATGATAAGAATAAACCAGTAAAGTATGATTTAAATGAGTAATTCTTATGTAAATAAGGAGTACATAAGAAAAAGAATCATGTCATTTGGCATACTATAGCTTGAGTTATAGATTTTTGAAGTTAAGCATGCAAGTTGAATTTTATATTCTTTATTTCAGCTGTGACTTTAAAATTCTAATAACTCGATATATATGCACAATAAAATTATGAAATTTTTACGACATGCTTATATATGGGTTAAGAACATGACTGCCAAATTTTATGATTTTATGTCGAGAAATGAACGAGTTAAAATATTTATATGGCATACATGTCAAGATGATTTTATATGCAAGAGTATTCAGTACATGGTTGAGTTTTTATGAGTGATGAGCAATTTGACAAAGTTTTAGCTCAATATGTTGAGTATGTGATTTTATAAAATTGTTTCAAGTCTAGTATATCAATATCATAATTTATTGTTATGATAAATTTTCTCTCTCTAACGCCCAAATTGCCAAATCGCCGAAAACCTAGCTTCCTAAATCCGCCGGTCTGCGTCTCCTTCGGCTGCCGTCCAGGCTGTCGGTGAACGGCTCTCCACTGCACAACCATGGTCTCATAGCGGGGCTCTTCTTCCTCTGTCGTTTTCTGGTGGGGAATGGTGGAGTACTGCGCCGGGAGATGGTGGTGGCTCGGACCGCCTGCTTTCTCTCCGGGTCGTGGCGACTCATCTCATCGGGCTCTGAGGTTTGCTCTACTTCCGATCTCTTACTTCCGGCGAGATTATCTCGCGACCTCCGTTCGCCGGCTTCTCGTCGCTGCTGGGATGAAGGGCAGGGTGTTTGGGGATGGGCAGAGAGCGGGTTGTTCATCAGGGTTACGTGGGTCCGGTTGGGCTTAGACGCCATTCGTTTCTCTTCCTACCTCGTTCTCTATTTTGGAGTCTGAGGGAGGCCGGCCGTTTCGAGATTTGGCTAGTGGTGTTAGCTGACCTCGGGACGGTGTCGGACTGGGCTAGTGGTGTTAGCCGGTTGGAGGGCGATTGTGGCTTTTTACGGCCGGAGAGCGGGTCGATTTGTGTGGATTGTTTTGAGACGCGGGTCCTCGTCTTTGCTAGGCAATAGGCAGTGGCGGGCGTGGGTCCTGTGCTTCAGTTCTCTCCATGGAATCAGCCTTTGTTTGCTGCTCATTTCAGATGTTCTGCCGAGGGAGGGCTTAGTTCTTTTATTTGTTATAGTTTTATTTTATCTTAGTGTTTCAGTTTATCTGTGTTAGTCATGTGTTTTGTAGTTCTGTTTTGTGTTTTTGGTTTGGCCGTTGGCCCTTGTGTTGCCCGAGGAGTGAGCATTACCCTGTTGGGGCCGTTTTCTCTCATTCTCCTCTTGGGAGCTTTTAGTTTTTTTAGTGTGTTTGTTTTCTAGTGTGTTGCTGAGTATTCTAGCATTGCTAGTTTTCGGATTTAGGCGGTTTTCGGACCTGTCCTCCTAGTTTTCT